CCTGCCCCCTGCTGGACCAACAGGTGAACTACAGACACTTAGAAACACCTCCAGCAATGTTTACCCTGAACTCACTGGAGACTGAATTAGTGCAAAAACATCCAGAAGAAACAAACAGTTTCATTAAAAGGAAGAAAATGTGGAATCAGAACATTTCAAAATGAGTCATTTCAGTTTCAAACAGTTAAAACAGTTTAGACAGAGCTCACCTCTTTGCTGCTGAAGGTCGGTCTGATTTAAAATCAATACGAAAATCCATTGACCAGTCACTCTTTAAGGAAACACAGCTGGGTTCTGGTTCTGGTTTGATTTTCTGTTGGATCCTGAAGGAAAAACCCTGAATTCAGTCTTAGTCTAATAATGTATTTAAAGTTAAACAGTGAAGCCCAGAACTCTAAAGTGTCCCACAGTGGCTCTAGTTTGAAGTGGATCCAAATATTCCTGGTTTCACTGTAAACCGTATATTAATGATGGATTAATAANACAGCCTCAGTTTCTGGATTCCAGTTCTATTCCGCGCCAGGTTAGTTTCTCCTCACATATACTCGACCCTCACTTAGCTCCTTCTGTCAAAGGACTCAAATTAGGCCCACAAGTTAAAGTTCAAACTACTAGTCACCCGCCAGCTTGATCAGACACCTGCACCCGTCACCGTTGAATCTAGACCTGTTCTCTCGCCTAGTAATCTAGCTCCCCACATCCATGAGACAGATATCTGGAACTTTTTCTATGGTGATAGGGAGGATATCTCCCCTTTCGAGCCACCACATCCAGCTCCACGCCAGTCTTATCTAGATCCTGAACCAGTTAGTTTTAATCCTGACCCCATGCCTGAATCTTTAGCCCCAGTACCTGAAATTCATTGTGGTATTCATATTTTTCGACCGGTTAGTTTATTGACAGATTCAATCAATAAACCTGTTAGCCCCGCTTCTAAGACCCACCAATGTAAGAGACGGCGTCGCCGTAAGCACGCTCTGAGCCGTCTAGAGACCCCTGAGTTAGCCTTGTGCCGTCCTGAGACCCCTGAGTTAGCCCTGTGCCGTCCAGGGACCCCTGAGTTAGCCCTGAGCCGCCCAGAGACCCCTGAGCATACACTTAAGAGGGCTTCAGAATGTGGAGTTTGTGAAGAAATTCCTCCAAGAGCCTTTCAACAGAGACCACTAATCGCCAAGAACCCTCCACCGACGCCTCAAGCCACCTCAGAGACTGAACTTGAGCCTCCATGGGTGGCCCCTCCGTTGCCAGAGGTGGAACCGCAGTCGGTGGTCCCACCTGCTCCTGAGTCTGAACCGCAGTCGGTGGTGTCGCCTGCTCCTGAGACGGAACCACAGTCGGTGGACCCGCATGTTCCTGTGGTGGAGCCACTGTCGGTGGTCTCCCCTGTTCCAGACCCTGAGCCGCAATCGGCGGGCTCTCCTGCTCAGGAGCCGCTATTAGAGGGCTCCTCAGCTCCAGAGCCGCTATCGGTGGGCTCTCCAGACCCGGAGCCGCAGTCGGCGGGCTCCCCAGCTCCAGACCCGGAGCCGCAGTCGGCGGGCTCCCCAGTTCCAGACCCGGAGCCGCAGTCGGCGGTCTCCTCTGAGCCTCCACCAGAGCCGCAGTCGGCGGTCTCCTCTGAGCCTCCACCAGAGCCGCAGTCGGCGGCCTCTTCAGAGCCTCCTCCAGAGCCGCACTCGATGGTCTTCCCAGAGCTTCCTCCAGAGCCGCACTCGATGGTCTCCCTAGAGCCTCCACCAGAGCCGCACTCGACGGTCTCCCTAGAGCCTCCACCAGAGCCGCAGTCGGCGTTCTCCTCAGAGCCTCCTCCTGAGCCGCAGTC